TTGAGGGGTCCACCTCCTGAAAGAAAAAACAAAAATCCCAGTCTGCAGCCCCGCCTGGTCGCGAGAAACCTGCAGCGTCGAAAACCCCAAACCAGAGCATCCGGTCATCAAAAAGCTTCAGCTTGCCCTAAGCACGGTTTGGTGCAGCCACGCGACCTTTTGCAGCCCTCAATAATAAAAGCGCTCTATAAGAGAGGCTTAAGGGGGAGTTCCCTTTCATTAGTTGGGTGAGCGGCTCTTGGAAAACAGGGAAAAGGAAAGAACGCCAGGAAGGCAAAAGGTCCAAAAGGTAAGCTAAGCCTGGCAAAGGAGAAACAAACCCTTGGATTTGAATACACCTTAATGACGCGCGCCGTGCCTTTCAGGCTGCCTAGTCTAGATTCTGAATGATGTGTTTTCCACAGGAAACAGGAAAAACTTGAAGGGTCCCCAATTTTGGAAGCACTCGGAAAGTCCTTGCAGTCACCTTTGGATCTAAGGGCCTGAGCAACTAAAATAGCTTGCGGAACTAACTCCATAGCCGAATAAAGCCATCACACCAAAATGTGTCTTCCTTTCACCCTTCATACTACCCTCGGCTGGCTTGGTGGTGTGGCGGGGGTTGAGTCCTGCTAAAGGGAGGAAAAACACTTTTTGAGTCCAAACTGCAGGCGTCCTTGCGCTGAAGCTGCCCCTGGGATTTTCAGAATCAAGGCACGCCTTTCTTCACAGGATGTTGGGCCAAACCGCCGGAAACTGGAACCAAGAAGGAGAGAACGCAGAAAACTGAGAAAAGCACAAACATAAAACAAACAAGGGCATAATGACGACCATGCACATGAGAAAAGGAACTGACCAATGGGACACCTTGCATCCCTTGCCAGCAACTGCGTCTATCAAAGTGACATCCTATTTGTTCGCTTAAGCGTTTCTCAAATTGGTGGAACTTGTTGTAGTTGATGTTTAAAGGGAAATCAAAAGGAAACCAACCGGTTTTGGGTCCCCCTTTTGAGGCAGAAGCATAAGGTGGTTTTAGCAAGAGGCGTCCCACCTTCAAACTGAACCAAGACCCCCCCCCGCCCTCGACGCCTCCCAGACGTTGGGCTCCTCGTGCCAGGCCATCCGTCCCTGGCAACATGTGCAAAAGCCAAGAAAGCGAGCCTGGCTGGGTGAGTCATACACATTTGCACAAGTGGTGCTATCCTTATCAGTACTTCTGTTGCGTCTACTATTCCTAGTCTTATTGTCGATTCTCATTGGTGAGCTAGGTCCAAGGGAGGCCTATGTGAGGAGGGTCTGAATATGTGCACGTATGTATGCGAGCGCGTAGGGCGTGCGTGCCCGCATGCGTGGTTTGCGTGCGTGCGTGCGTGGTGCACGTGTGAGCGTGCGCACGCGCGCGCCTGCATGCGTGCGTGCATGCAAATGCTGGATCCCTCCCAATCACCCGCCAGCCTTAGCCCTGTAGCCTGGCGGCTCCTGGGCACACGGAATTTCATTTGTCTTCCTTGTAGCTTCCATGTCTAGTGGTTTAACTTCCAAAAGGGGGGTGAGTTGTAACCAACTACCAAACGCTTTTTAGGCACTTTTAAACAGCGTCCTTTGATTCTTTGTGCGGGTGCAACAAATCCCAACCTGCCCTCAGCTTAAATTATCCAAATCGATTTGTTTGGCTTTGTTTGGCACCGATTGTCGGGAAAGGTCACATTTTCCCGTTCCGCAAAAGCAACGGACGATGTGGGCAAGGCATCGTCCAAACTCCGCCGTTGCTGTTTGTTCGCAAAGGGGGGACCGTGCCCTGCTGCCCATTTCGGCCCAATGTCAAAGCGCACAACGGATACGCGCATAGAGGGTACTCCAAGGCAAAATGGCAAATGGGCACGGGTAAGGATATCTGACGTCAAAACGGGAAGGGAAAGCCAAAGGCCCACAAGTTTTAACCGGATGATGGACTGCACGGCCGGTATCATACAAATGCTTGGGTGCTCATCAAGAATTGGCACCACAACTCCCAAGCATTCGTAAAGGCACTGATTCAAGTTCGGCTTTGGAACCTTCAAGCCGGCTTTGGCTTCCTGTTGAAACAGCCCTAAAGAAGGGTGACCTTTTCCAAAGACACGCTCCTTTCTCCATCCGTACTCATTTGGCACCGTGCCGCTACTGGGAGCTTCGGATCAAGAGTGGTTCTGAACGTGGTCACCTCCTCCCCCGGCCAGGGGTTGCGCACCTCTTCTGCATAACAAGAGTGGCTCGAACATGCTCACTCAAAAAAAAAACAGCAAGAACTTCCGAGGCACGTCCACGTCGGTACCAGGCAACCCGTTGGTTTCTGGAATGGATTTTCGGATCTGTGGACAAGCCAGCAGTTGAAAAGAAGGTTCTGGGCGTGTTCTTTTTGTTTTGTCCTTTTGGCACCCCTCCACTAAGCCAAGATGCCCCAATCAGGCTCCCGGTGAATGGGCGGGTGTTTCTTAGAACACCATCAAGCGCTCTGCAAGGACACGCGTGGTGGAACATAAACCGCCCGCAAGCCCCTCGCTTGGCCGGTCCTCCGGGCTGTTCCACTTGCCGGACCTGACACGTGCTGGGAGCGAAGTTTGTTTTCTTTGTGCGAGGTGATTGGCTTCAGGAATTTAGTCGAGAAAGCCAAGCGTCAAGAGCGCGGAACCCCGAAAAACAGCGATGAACTGAGAGGCCCGCGATACGCAAAGACACGCACACACCACGCAGCTCTCTCGAAGCATCTGGTCTGAGGCTAAGGCTTCGCAACTTTCCCCTTTCCTTTGCCCTTCCCTGAGTGCACGTTGCAGCTGCCAATCTTGTGAATGACTCGACTGATGTCGGAGCCCACTCTGTGGATGTGCAAACACCAGGTCGCCAAACATGGTTTAGCGATTCTGCTCTGGCTTTTACCTAGTCGGCCTTGAGCTCCACACTCTCTCCCTCTCTCTCTCTTGGCTTTCTCTTTTGCCTCTGTCTGCAGCGGCCACTGCTCCAGAGGCAAACCCGTGGCGGGTTTCTCAGTTCATCAACGTACAAGCATGGGATTGGCACGTTCACTTCCCACGACAACCCCCCTCCCCGGCCAAAAGAACTTGCTAACCAGATCAACCCATCAATGAATCAACTCGACATGTGCCATGGCCAAACTGCTTATTTGAGTCATGGCCAAGGCTCCTATTCAGGAATCTTGAGTCCCCACAATGGTTGTCTAAACTTCCAACTAAAGGGTTCGTAAAGGTGCGTGTTGAACGCATATGGCCCTCCACTTCAAAACGCACGCTCTGAGCTGGCTGCCCTCCTCTTTGCCCTTGCTCTTTCCCCTGCATGCGGCAGAGGGCGGGAGGGGAGGGGAGGGGAGGGGAGGGGAAAAAATGTAGAAAAGGCTTGTCCTAGGGGGTGGGGGGTAGATGGTTGCCTGTTCTGTTTTCTTTTTCACAATTCAACACGTGTACCACCTTATTCGTTTTTTCAAGGCTGATTTTGGGGGCATGAAATAACGATATGGATGTGGTAACGAATTGATGATTTGGTCCCCTGTTTCGTTCCAGATTTCAACTTTTAGTTTTATTGATTGAAAGAGGATAGGACTTTCTGTGGTTTCATGGGTTGGCTTTTGGGCGGTTGTTGTGGTTTGTCGTCCCATCAATTCGGTCGTTGCCTCATGCCACGACTTCTTCAACTACAATCTACCATTCTGTCGGGAAGCTCAGTGGGAAACCGCGAGGTTGTGCCAGCTGACATGGAACTTTGTTCAACGATTGAGAGTTGCACTTACACCATGACTCCAAACCGCTTTGTGTTGAAGCTGTTTGTAGCACTCTGCTGTGTCTCACCTCGCATTTCAGCGCCTTTGCCTTCAAACAATGGCACCGAAGAAGACTACCATGACCGAAAAGAAGGGCTACGCTGTCGAAGCCGACCCTGAAATCCTTGAGCTGGCTGGGATGGCTAAGGCTATGACCACGCAGGAGCTGGAAAAGAAGGAGGAGGAGTTCTCAGCCATCATCAAGAAGTTTCAGCTGAAGCGCGAGGTCTTCACGAAACAGCGTGAGGCACTGATTGCTGAGGCAAAGGCGAAGGAGAGTGCTCTGGCGAAAGCCATTGCAAAGGCGGAGAAAGACAAGGAATTGAAGGTCAAGACGGGTGGCTACTTGAACTTGACGTTTGTGTTGCCCGACGACACCACGTCTCAGGTGAGAATCAAGAAGCGCAAAACTTTGGCAAATCTCCGCGACCATGTCTGTGAGATGCTGGACTTGCCGAAGAAGCAATGGACGAAGGTGAAGTTGGCATGGGGTGGTGAGACCTTTCTGAAAGGTTATCGCACCTACATCTACACCACCACCCTTGCCGATGGCGATACGGTCTCTTTGGTTGTGCCCATCATGGAGAACATTGACGAGCAGGAGGAACAGGACGAAGAGAACCCCGAGAGCGAGAGCGAGACCAGCCAGAGTGAAGAGGACGAGAATGTCGTTGAGAACTGACAGCTCTTTTGTCCCTGATTTGATAGGATGTGAACGATGTGTCATTGCTGACTTCCCGATGGCATCTTTCAGACCAGAAACCATGCACAGATGATTGCTCACTGAAAAAAAGTGAACGTGTTGTTTGTGCCATTCAGACATTCTCACCATTCCTGCATGTGAGCGATTTGAGACACTTGAAAGCAGTTTGTGTGTTTGATGCATCTATTCAAACAGCGATTTGTATAGTCGGACTGTGCCCTTTAGTCAAAGGGTTTGAGCCCAACCATGCTGTCCAAGCCATCAACTGCTTCATCGTCTCCAGCACGTCCGCTCAAGAAAGAGCACTGGACACAGAAGCTAAAGCGAGAACACCTCGAGAAGGTCAATGAGGTGAATATGATGTTGCTCTTTCTTGAGAAGATGAACTTGACCCAGCACTACAAGGACTTTGTCAAGGATGATGAGGCTCAACCCTTGGTTCTGGTCTCCACCAAAGACAAGACAGAGAAAGATGAGAAGTCTGGTGAAGATGCTGACGAACCAGATGACGACGACGAGCCAAACGACAGCGAGCCGGAGGATGGTGATGGTGGACATGACGATGCTGAGCATTTTAAAGTTCGCCTTCGCAATGTGGAGATGCGGGAGACAGCCATCGTGCTCGTGGAGAGAACTTGGAGCGTCAAGATGCTCAAGGTGGTAGGTTGGATGAAGTGGCATGTCCCTGTCATGCACCAGCATCTGCGGGTGATGGACAGAACCCTGGACGATGAGGAGATGCTGGACACCCTTGACCTCGACGAGGACACCTACATTGACATGACGCTTGCCATCTATGGTGGGATGCCAGGGATGGTGAGGAAGAACTATGTCAAGAAGGAGGAGGCAGTCAGAAAGTTAAAAGCCAAGACCCAGAGGCTATGCGTGGGTGAGGAGGAGATGGATGAAGTTAGTGCAGACCAACTTCCAGCGACATTTCAGACCTTCTTGGATGAACAGCAGGGCAAAATGACTGAGTTTCTTCTGTTGAAGAGCAGAGCTGAGGCTTCCTTCATCAACCTCGTGGTGAAGCACACGAGCACTGAGAACCTGACATCGCTCAAGAGCATCATCAAACCTGGTAGACCTGCTCAAGGGCGGAACACTGCCAACGACGAACGTCTCCTGAAGTGTCTCCCACTTCTGTTTCCCGCCCTGAAAGACTTTGAGCTTTGCAAGGTCAAGTTGGAGCAGATGCATGGACATCTCCTTTCAAAGTTGATGAGTTCCTTCGTGGACGATTTTGTGTCCTATTCTGAGACCAATGGCGTAGCCTCTTTGAATTTGTCCCCATTTATCGTTGCAGTGGACACTGAGCTGACATCAAGGCTCAGGAATGTTTCACCAGATGTTGAGGCATCAGCGAGTAATTGTTCCGTTCAGTGATACACATCCCACACCAGTCGGACTTGGGAGGGGATGAACATGAGCCAGGACAGTAGCTCATCCGTATCGTGACAACGATACACACGTATCATGGAAACGATACGCTTGTATCAATTTCACAATGAAATGATACACATGTATCATGGAAACGATACACACGTATCATGATTACGATACGGCCACGTTCCCCTTTTTGACTGCTTCGAGTGGTGTAAGTGTATCATAACTGATGTGACCAAAGACCAAGACAGCCTGAAGGATAGATAAAAAAATGCGTTCTCCGTTACTGTGAGCAGTTGGTGTCGTGAAGCCACTTGTGTATGCTCGGACTTTGTCGAGAGTTTTGGGCTCGGCTTCCTCAACCCTCGTGTCAGGGGTCTCGCTCTGGTATGATGGTGGATGCTTCCACTCAGACGATGGAGAACCTCACCATGGAGAACAAGTTGAGTGCCTTGGAAATCGTCATCCATAGGGGTTGGAACGTCAGAGACTTGAGCGAGGTCTATGAAGAGACCTATGAGAATGAGGTGAGCTTCGGCATCCCTAGGAGACTCATTGAGAAGGAATACTTCAAGACATGCTACTACCACCGCGAGGAAAAGCACTTCTCGGATGAGGAGTGGGTCGCGTTCAAGAACGAGTGGGAGCTCAAGAAAGCCAACGACGCCTTCATGGAATTCGGACGTGGTGACCACGATGATGTGATGACTAACGCCATGGACGTCGCCTTCTACATGCTGGGCTTTCCCTTTCAGGTGTTCTTCAACAACAACCACGGTGGCTACGAGATGTTCATCATGAGGCTCAACCAACATGCTGGTGGTAGGTTCCACGAAATTGAGGAGATTGACTTACATCTCATCAGGCGTTGCGTCTATGATACCCTACCGTGGCTTCGCAACAGAGGCTGGGATTTGGAGGAGGTCAACTTCAAGATTCTCAACGACCGTGCCTTCAGTCAGTTGGTGGAGGACGAGCCCGATGAGAGCGTCATCATGTGGGTCTTCCGCTACAACGAGGACGCCGACCTCATTGAAGAGGACACAGAGAACCTCTCCGAATGGCTGAGGAGACGCCCGCTGGAACTGGTGCTCTGTCAGACCTTCAAGTCAGAAGATGACACTGAAGGTGATGACAGTGAGGGCGGTGTTAGTGGCTCAAGCAACTGAGCTCATTGAACAGCTCTACCCAACATAAACCGAGATTGAAAGGAAAATAGTGTTTGTCTTTGTGCCTTGACAAAGCAATGCAACGCCACACATCACAGAGTGAGTGGGAAGAGCCCTGTTTCAATGTGTTTGCTTTAGTTGTCAACTTGACATGACACTTTCTAGACATGGTCATGTTGTCAATCTCTACTCCGCTACCGTCCTGAGGTTAAGAAGACATCGCCGTCTTCGTCAATCTGACTGTTCTCTTCGAGGTTTGGCAGTCACAGGGTTTGTCCACCAAAATAGTTTTTTTTCGGGGTGACCACCTAAATATCTTTTTTTCGGGGTGACCACCTAAATATCTTTTTTTCGGGGTGACCACCTAAATATCTTTTTCGGGGTGACCACCTAAATATCTTTTTCGGATGACCACCTAAATATCTTTTTTCGGATGACCACCTAAATATCTTTTTCGGGACACCAACCTAAATTTTCAGGGTTTCTATACATATATACATTTTAAGGGTCTTTGAAGGGAGCAATGTGTTTTTCCTTTTTTGGTCAGGGTTCAAACAAGACAAGGGGAGACTTCACCGAGCCACCTTGTATCCCAAATCACGAGCGACCTTACCACCACTGCCAGTACCACTAAATAATTCTAATAATTTCATATTATTAGAATTATTTAGATATTTATTTTATTGTATAGTGTCCATACGGGATTGAATTGAAAGCATCAATATAAAACCTTTTATTTTCATAATTACTGAGTGATTGCTTGACTTGAGACATTGAATATATTTGATGTGTTTTGCTCCTGATGAAGTTGTAGGAGATTTCGTGCTTTTTGTTGTGATGCAGTGCTTCATGATAGTTCTGATATGTTAATTCCTTTTTAACCTTGTGCTTGACGACACCTTTGGATTTCTTGTGTTCCTCATCCTCGCCGTGGATTGTGAAAGCATAGGATTTAGGTTTCAACCCGATGAATCTAGTAATGATTTTTCCATTGACTTCATCTTTGTACATTCCTAAGACCTTCTTATTTGTTGTGTCATGGCATGGATGTTCAACAGGATAATCACTAAAATCCATATGTTGCTTGATACCTTGAAAATCCTTGTAGATATCATCCGTGAAGGTTTGAATTACATAACTGTCAGTATCTGTATATATCAATTTGATATTTTCGTTGTATTTCTTTTTCAACACACCATAGTAAAACTCATACATATGTAATTTACTCAAATCCAATATTGTCATTCCTAAGAATAT